CACTGAAGTGTAATTGTAAAAGCTCACTTTGAAACTATTGCCTTGCAGATGTTTAAAATGACCGTTTTTAATGGGCATTATAATGATAATAAAGCAAAGACTTATAGATTGTAACTTTAGGGCCTGCAGATTTTGATCTTGTTAGTACTTAACCGTAATGAGTAATCACATCCAATAAATAAAAGTAAAAAAAAGCTTTATTAGCCATAAGTAAAGTGTAAAGCTTAAAGTGGCTTTATTAGTTCTCATCCTTCCTACCAGAAAATATTTCTAGGGCTTGTAACTTCATAGCAGTTTAACAAGAGAAGGATCACAGGATCCTCTTGTCCTGGTATCCTCTGTATCACTAGCCACAGACTATCATCCGATTACTTCTGTGCTGAATTGCACATCATAACTAAAGCATACTCCCACATTATCACTTGAGAACATCACAAAAGCAACTTCCAGCATTATCTGCAATGCCTTGTTCTGCTGATATTTCTTTGCATACAGAGCTACAGTGTACATTCACACACGCTCCCAGTTCTGACCTCTGTTCCCTTATACTAGGAGGCAAGCACCAGGACAGTTCTGTGCACTCCACTACATTTCAGTATGACAGAGAAGTGCACAATAGTGTTATCTCATGGTGGACACAGAGCCTTTTCCTTAGAAAAATATTATCTGTACTTGAGAAGTGAATGATTTACTATGTGCAGCATATGAAATCCAGCACATGTCCCCCACTCTGAATTCCCTTATCACTACAACTTCTCTTTTCACATGTTAAAGCACATGCTTACGAATGAACTCATCTCAGTTGGTAGCTGCACTTGGCTGCCTCCAGGAGATCCTCAGTGTTCAGGATTTTGTGTTGCCAATAACTCTCAAATGGCACCTACAAGCTTTAGCAAAGCAGCCCCTGCCAAAGTCAGTGTCTACATTATTTACTTTGTTCATGTTCCTGTCACAAACATCAGCCTGCTCAGTCTCCTACAGTCAGTGAGAATAGACAAATTTGGGGTTTTGGACTTTCTAGCAAGGCTTGTCAGTGTTGTATGAGAAATTGCATTTGTAATTTCTCTTTGAAACCTTTGTTGCATTATGGCAACATATTCACGACCTTTGAGTTTCTAGATTCTACCACATTTGCTCTCAGAGTACTACGTCTTCCTTTGCCCTTTTAACATATTCAGCCTGTTAAGAGACTGTGAAATGAAGACTGCCTTGCTCATGCTGCCTCCCTTCTTCTGCCTTGCCAGGATGCAATCCTGTGCACTGCAGACACGATCTGCAGTCAGTTCTGTCACTAATCATTTGGTGATTTGGTTCCAGCATTTCAGTTCAGTCTTCCCTCATTAGTGAGATGGGAAAGACATGGAAAGACTTTATTTAGATACTCCATTCAGATTTCCACAACTTGTGCAGTTCTTTATGACAGCTTGAAGCTATGGAAAAGCATCACTGATAAGGGAAACCTGTCAGCATTCAATCCAATATTTCAGTTACCTGCTTTCTTCTTGGTCTTAAGACAAGCGCCCTTTGTCAAATAGTCTGTCCTCTCTGGACAGCAATTCTTTCCTTCCTGGAACAGCTGATTAAGTTCTCTTCTAAGTTGCTCTCTTCTTAAGATACAGACATAGATCAGGTTTATGCTTGTAGAGGATGATCGGTCTTCCAGAGAAAGTTCCTCACTGAATCACTATTAAACAACTGATATTTCTAGTTGGATGGAAGGAAAACTGGTTCTCTTTCCCCTCCTGGTAACAAATCACCATATCACATCTTTTGTTTCTTATCTCCCCAGACCTCCTAAAACTGATCTTTTCCCTTGTGGTAAGGCCTGAACAAAGATTTCAGCAACAGCCTGTCCAGTAAGTCACTGCTTGGGATGCTGTACAGTGTCAAAGTCAGTATCTCCAAGCTAGTCTCATTCTCCTCTACCTGGCCTCCTGGCTTCCCAGTCAAGAAAGAGAGATCACATTTACCCTTTGGCAGAAATGAAACAGAGCATCTCCAATGCAGTAACTTTCTAGGCATCCATACTAAGGAAATGTGGTATCTTACTTCCACTGAAGGGAACCAAGTGCCCTCATTTGCCATTTCTCTAAAATATGCCCCAGTAACTGCAAAGATTTAGAGTTCTTATATCCAGTGTTTTTTGCACTTCTTCATGTTCATGCACTAAAAGGGTGCTCATTGATTTAATAAGCCAAGGTCTAGAGAGATCTATAAATATAAGTATTTTCCCCTGCATTATTGCCCTCATGTCCAAGACTGAACTTCTGCTCCTTCACAGATAAATTGCTTCCTCGCTGGTTAACACCAGCTTCCATTAGCAAGAGTGGTGGCAGACATATTTGGGAAGGTGATCCATGATAAAACACAGCTTCGTGTCTTTTTTGTTTTCCCTTTGATTTCTTTACTCACCACATCCCTTACTCCTCCTTTCCCCACACCACTCTGTTCAGAAGAATCAATAACTTATTCTTTATCACTATTAGCTAAAAAGTTATCGCTGGGCCTCACTTTAAATCTACTGGAATCCATGTGACATACATCAAACTCAATGGGCTTAAGATCAGGTTCCTACAGTTGCCAAAATTGCCTTCTAAAACTCAGCCTGAAACAATTCTTTAAGTCTTTTATAGGGTTATAATAGTGCAGGCTAATGCTAATCAGATTTATAGCAGTAATAGAAGTGGGGGGGCCTAGAGATTTTGTTCCTAAAGTAGAAAACATTCTGTGCATTCCACTACTCAGTAACTTCCAAAACATAAAGCACAGCACTTGCTGGTCTATGCTTCCCTTTGCATGCAACAGCACATTAAGGTTTATGGCTTTCTCTTAAGTATGTTGTGCAAAGTTTTATTTAGAATAACTATTTTTCAATAACTCCTAAGCCTTGGTGTATCCGGCTGAATTGCTCCCAAAATGCTCAACTCTGATGTAAAGTTACAAGGAAATGGGATGTTTCTCCCCAAAACGTGTATTAGCACAAGACATTATTAACTGCTCCATCTCCAGCAGGGCAGGCAGTGCCATCCTGGAGCAAAGCACCAGTACAAGCATCCCTTGTCATCTGATCCCAACATGTAAAGCAACCAGAGAGGCTGTGGATGCCCCATCCCTGGAGGTGCTCAAGACCAGGTTGGGTGAGACCCTGGGCAGCCTGGTCTAGTATTAAATGTGGAGGTTGGTGACCCTGCGTGTGGCAGGGGGGATGGAGAGGGAAGGGAACTGAGGTCCCTTCCAACCCCGGCCATTCTGTGATTCTGTAAAAGCACCCTGCAGACTTCACCTCACACCCAGAGGAAGCCAACCTCACGGAAGCTCGAAGCAGCAACATTTCTTACCCCTGCTTGTCACCCTATTTGCTGAGCTACACCAAAGGGTTCCGTGCACACCTCCGACTCCTGAAAGCATCTCCAAATTCACACACCACACGCAGTTTTGCAATGACACATTAAAGTCATGTCTAACTTTGTGCCTGAGAGTTTTAAAGTCAAGCCACTGCCAGATCAAGGATTGGGTTACTTTCCATTAGCTCGGTGCTGAGATAACCCCATATTACGTAAAGGCAACAAAGCTACCTGAGGTTTGATTACGTAAAATATTCCCCCCTTTGTTCTGTTACTTTTAGCGCAGGCCTGAACATTCTTATTATCTGAAATCCAAACTTACCAGGCAAACACACATTATACAAGGGTTGTCTGTGATAAAAGGTATCTGGAGAATTTCCCCTTCATTTTCGCATTTTGCAACAGATCCTGAAAGAGAGATAAAAATTAAAAATATTGACGTATTTCAATTCCCCCAGCTGGTTTTGGGTGATGACTTGTCAGTCTCACTTAACTCCCGCTCCATTCCTAGCCTTCAACTTTAAGTTTGGCCCCAATTTGTCCATTTTGAGCAGGTGAGCATGCCAAAGGGAGCAGAGAAGTGACCGTCCCTTTATTGGTGGCACAGACCCAACTTGCTCTGTGTCCCACTTATAGCTTTTTCTTTTCTCTGATGACGTGTGGAGAATAATGAGTACTCCACGCAATGCAGGACGCTTCTGTAATGACAGATCCAGAGCTTGTTGAAATCAGCACAAAGCTGGGTGTTGGACCAGGAGCCCTGCACAAGCGTTAAACCGAGCATCCTCCTGGCGCCTGACAGCCAATTGGCGACGGGGCGGGAGCGAGCGGGCTGACTGTCAGACGGAATCGAATTAGGAATCCCTTTATGGCCCTATTAGCCGGCACTGTGTCACGTTGGAATCGCTTCCCACTCGTGCTAGAAATTGATTCGCGTTTCCCTGCGCGCCCCAGAGAGCAATAAAGTATAATCCTCGAGGGGAAAAGAAGAAGAAAAAAGAAAGCAAGAAAAATGGAAGAGGGGGAAGCCCATCTTCTCCATTCACCTGCCCCAAACCCGCTCTCGCTCCCGCAGCCCCGGCCCTTACCTGTGAGCAGGGAGGAGGCCGGCGCCCCAGGGAGGCAGAGGGCGCCCAGGAGGACGGCAGCGGCCGGGACGAGGCCGGGTGTCCCCGCCGGGCTCCCGCTGGACCGAGGCATGGTCCCGGGCTGCGAGCCGCGGGTGCCGCTGCCTGCGGGACGCCGGAGCCCGCGCCGACCCCCGGCCCTGGGTTACGGACGGGGGGGTGGGGGGGGGGGGGGCGCGGGGGGGAGGAAGGGAGATGCCGGCCCGCCGGGGAGTCCCACCCCGGGGAGGGGACTGCGGGTGCGGGGAAAGCAGCTGTCAGCGCCGGCCCCTCGGCCCCGCACCCCCTCTTTCCATCACCCCCCTCCCCTGCCCGCATCCCTTCTTATACCTTCCTCTCCCCCATAGTCCCTCCTCCAGCACCCCCCGGCCCCACGCCGCCTCCCCCCGGCGCACACACGCGGCCGCGCTGCCAGCCCGGACCCCGCTTCCCCGCCGGGAGGTGCCCGGCCACTCCCTCCCGGCCCCGCCAGCACCGCCCGGGCCAAAGCGGCGTCGGGGGCTGCGGGCGGGGCGGGGAACGGGAGGGTGGCGAGGAGCAGAGCAGGAAAGGTAAAAGAAGGCCGGGAGGAGAGGAAGCTCGGCTCCTTGGAGGGGTCCGCTGTTCGCGCAAAAGCAGGTACTTGGGCAGGGAAAGCCGCTACCCTCGGCTGGCCCGACAGCTAGCGGCAGGGCCATTCGTGCTTGGGGACAGCGAGCGGGAAGAGGACGAGGAGGGGGGACGAGCGGAGCAGGCGGGGCAGCGACTGCGGGGCTCTGCTACCCGGCTGCCGCCCGGCCGGCTCCGCGGAGCTCCCCTCTCCGCTCCCTCTTTCCCCTCCGCGCTGCCGGGGCCGCTCCTATCGCCTCAGCCGCAGCAGAGCTCCGGCAGCCGGAGCCCAGTGGCTGCCCCGGCCGTGGGCTGACGGCGCCCTGCCCAGACCTGCGCTGCCGAGTCCATCTTTGCCCGGTAGGTTCTGGTCTTCGATCCCACTTTGCTCTTCCGTCCGTAAGTCGCCGTTCTAGCCGCGGGCACGGCGTGAGCTACGGGCGCGCGCCGAAGCTGAGCTTCTGCACGCGGAGCTGCACTGACGGCGTGACCCTTCTGCTACGCGGAGATTGTCCGGGTTTGCTTTGCAACTCGTTTTCCCTCCACGGTGCTTTTTCACCGGGGGAAGCGCAAGCTCGCAGAAATAAACCGCTCTGGTGACAAAGCTGAAAGGTGCTTTCGGATTCATTCGCGTTTGCACGGTCTTTTTCTGGGGAGTGAATGCGAGCTGTTCTTTCAAGAAAGCTGACAGCAACTGCAAATCAGGTGCGGGCAGCACAGGACTGCTTTATCTTTAAAGGCATTTGCTTCCCAGTCAGACGCAAGAATTGCGTGTTCGTTGTTAGAATGAAGCCCAGCAGACCGCTGGAAGCTTGCAGCACCATTGTGAGATGCAGGATGCCCGAGCCTCACTTCCAACATCATTTGTCACACACCTTTATAGTGGGAAACCAACGTCCTGGGACGGGACCACAGAAATCTTGTATTTGTAAGCCTGTCGAAATCGCTAGCAAGATCCCTCCCCATGAAAAAAGAAAGCCGATTTCTTTTCCTGTTGCAAAATATCAGTCTGAACAGGTTGAGCTGCATAGGCACATGTGATAATTTTGATGCCGTTAAAGAAAGCAGCTATAAAAAGAGGGAATTTCGTATTCCATGGAAATAAAATTGGGAGCAGTGCCTAAGTATAATGCATGAAACTTTAATGTATTTATTCTGGGAAAGGATTCACAGTTCCCTTTATTTCAAAGATAAATGAATCTGTAGAGGTACATATTAAACACTGCTCCAGAAGAGATTCTCACTTATCCGAATGTTTTTTTCCCAATGGAAAGATGTACTGAAGCTTTTGGCAAACTGGCTCTTCCTTAGTTCTCTATCTGCAATCGGTGGCTGTGTTTCCCTTCTCTAATTCCAGCACAGCTACAGTCCTTCTAGAGCAAAAGCCACAGAAAAAAATAAGATAAAAAAAAAAATAGGCTCCAATAATTTCTTAAGTGACAATTCCCACAGGAGAGTACTTATGTCACTGCGTGCATTGAGCCTTCTCTTTGTGATGGTCTAAAATTCATTAAATATTAATGCTGCCTGGTGTGAGAAACATACAAATCAGCAGGGTGCCAAATAGCAATCAGGTATCCAAATAACAGCAGGGAGCTGATAAAAAATACTCTACAGTTGCAAAAGGTTTGCATCTGTCAAATGAAGACAAGAAGGGACAGCTTCACACTCAATTCCTGCCATCCCTCATTCAGTTTGCAAGTACCAGTAATGAAATCATACCTAAGGAAGTTGTGCAGCAAGGCACAGGGATTTGCTGCAGCATCTCCAATGCACTGCTTGGCCCCAAACTTACCTCTACAACAGCATCTGCGTGATGACAATACTTTTGAGTGCTCCCTGGGGTGAGTTTGCTGGGTCTGTGCCTTTTGCTGCGGTTGCTAGAGCATTGGGGTGAGGGATTTGCCCTGTCCTTCATCATTAGATGCACCTGCTGATGGCACTGTGGGCCTCCCCCATCCACAGGTGCTGGGCAGAGTAGCTTGCTGAGGGCTCAGCTCCCCACCTACCTCGCATCACGGAGCGGGGGAAGTGCTCAGGTTGGGAGCAATGCTGATGCTTCCTGGCATCGGTGGTGGTGACACACTACAGGGAATCACTCTCTGATTTTAATCTCTCACAAAGTGAAATCCAGCACAGGAGGGAACCATGCCATCCCAATCCTCCCACCTAAAGTTTCACTCATTCAGTGGTGCAGTATGAGTTTTGGCTCAGCTTTTTACCTTTCCCTTAACCTTTCTCCAAAATCTATCACATCAGTGGTATGTGTTTTTTTTCTTCTTGTAGTAATGTCACATTAAGCACAGTTCCAAAGGTTTGGGTATTATTTCTTCTTGCATCCATGTTTGAATGGATATTTACTTTTCCAAGAAACATTCAAAGCTGCGGTAACTTAGCAAAGCCAGAGGATCACACTGAAAGCCATGTCCTGCTGTTGGACACACACAGAGGCTTCTGTTGTAACTGCTGGCATATAACAAAATCACATGTCGTCAAAATTCTTACCTCCTTTGTATAAGCATCACACAGTATCACTTTGTGTTGAAGGGATACGTTCATTAGTTTTGTTTATTGGTCAGCCCGGGTTCATTGATGGAGTGCTAGCTGTTCACAAGTACCTAGTTTTACGTCATTTGGCTCCTTCTCCAGTTGTGCTTTCCCAGTGGTCAGCCATAAATTGTTAACGGTGTCAGCCATTAGCTGGTGACAATAAATGTTCAACTTAGCACTCACCTAAAATGAAAAACAAAGCTTCACTGTTTGTTAAACATAACAGTAGTAAAGAAGATGACAGTGATCACATTCGCATCTTTCTTCATGATCATCTGTTTTACTGGCACATCAAAATACCAAGAACACCCATTATTTTTGAGCTGGAGAGTTCTTCCAGAACTGAAGGGACACACTGAATCATTAGAATTCACAAGTATTTTCTTTTGTTAAGAAAATTCACTGTTTCAGGTCTTGGGCGTAGTGTTCCTTCTCATGCAAGAAAGTATTCAGTCAACATGCTGCATGGGAAAGCATGTATGTCAGCAACAACTTACATCAGCAAAAAGAAGGGCACGTGCATTTGCTGTAAAAGGAGGCTTACATTCATTTGTTTCTGTGCTTAATCGTGATTTAAAGTTAGCAGCATCTACTGGTGTGAACAAACGGTATTTCACGCAGAACCGTTTCTCCTCCATGAGATAATGGCCATAAACCTTCAGATCGGCCGGAGGTTCTCAGAGGAGTTCTTGACAAAGTCCACCTACAGCATCATGATCAGAAAACCAATGAGGGCTGGAGGACATACTAAGAGGCCTTCAAACTGTAACGAGATTAAAAGTGACATAGGGTCCAAGTCCTTAAATAAAAGGAGAGTATCTAAAAGTTACAGTGAGACTCACTTGAATAAATGTTTATAAATTTCATCAAACAACTCATCATTTTGACAGTTTTCCATAAACCTCTGCAACATGTAAAGTATTTAATTTATTTGTGGCAAGATAAAGATAATGAGTAACATTTTAAAAGCTTGTTAACGTAGAATGTCTTGGCATGGTCAAACTTGCATACTTCTGCTGTTTAAATTATGTTTTCTAAGAACTCAAAAAACCATACAAGAAGGAGTTTCTAACTGCAAAAGTCTTCAAAATCTTGTAATTTAAATTTGTACAAATGCATGTCAAATGCACAGAATCTAACCCGAACTGGATGTAAATGGCATCAGATCTCCAAACTAAAGTAATAACAACAATAATAATATTAATGAATATGATTGCAGTGTGGAGGAAAAAATATCACTCCAACGTGGAGAAAATGAACTGTTACAGCCTTATGTCAAGTATGCTAAAAAAGACAAAAAATGATAACAGAAATGATCCTAGCTATGGAATTCCTAGCAGAAGCTATTAGATAGGCTATAAGCTAAACAAACACAGTCCATTGGCATGTGCTTTTTTGTTACTCAGCTGCTGTAAATAGATAATTGCATTTCCATAGATAATTAAAAATATTTTGTGAGCTATGTGTTTTCATGTGAAGTTTACCTTGAACACCTGCTGTGCCTGAGAGATGATAAGAGCTAATTAAAGCACATAAAGAGTGACATGCACGAAATACTCCTTTGTTTTGCACTTGGGAGACGAATGAAACCTGCATTTTGTCCAGCTACTCTCCTAGCTGATGACTGCAACAAATAAGGGAGCATTAGAGTAACACCATGTACCATGGCAGACTGATGCCTGCAGGTGAGGATGGTCTCTGCACACTACAACAGCCTCACTACATGCTCTAAAATTCTTGGTTCCACACCACACACACCCCTAAAAAAAAAAAAGCTTCCTTATTCTGATGTGAGATTTTCCCTTCCAGCCAAGATCCAGTTCTAAAGCAGCTGCCTCTACCACGCACAAGGAGGTAAAAGGTTGAATGTCTCCTAAAAGCCAAGCGTCTAACTGCATGTGTCCAGTAAGATCACCTCCTTTCCTATTGAAACCCTACCATGTGAGTTGTCATGTTGCCGTGCTCTTACTGCTGTCGTTCCTATTTTCTTGCAGAATTTCTCCTTGGGCTTTTCTGACTGTCAGCTAAAGGCTTAAGAACTTACAGGTGATGTCTGAGGAACAATCGTAAATTGCCAAGCTGGAGCTTCCTCTGGTTCATGTGGCCTTCATTTACACCCAATGAGTGAGAGGACATCAAGGGCCGTTCATTTTAAGACATCTGTAATGAAAAAAGTTGTCGCTTGTCGGCCGTGGCAGGGAAAAAAGAAAAGGTGCTGTGTGATGCGATTGCTGGCAGATGGCACTGTTGGGAGCCCAGATCCTCGCAGCGTGCGGCTGCATGGCAGGGAGGGGATGGGGCTGCTTTCACAATTAACCTGAACCACAGATCTGTTTACAGCAATCTAATCCATATGTGCTAATATCTTGCTGCTACACGAGTGAAACTCTCTCTTGGATTGTTCTCAGAATGTACTTTTTGCACATCTGGCTTCATACGCACAGGGCATTTGCTTCTACTGCTCCTGCAAGGAATACAGGATACCTTATTCCATCTGGAAGCAAAACAAAAGACAGTGTTGCCATGAAATCCTCAGTATTGTTATTTTCCAGATACAAAATTCAAGTAATTTAAGAATTACTTCCTCTCCTCTCCTCTCCTCTCCTCTCCTCTCCTCTCCTCTCCTCTCCTCTCCTCTCCTCTCCTCTCCTCTCCTCTCCTCTTTTTTTTTTGTTTCCTTTTAAATAAAATTGTCTGTGCAACTTCTTGGCTGCTAATCTACATGAAAGTACAACCATTTAATGCAATGTCCAATTCATCCAACTGACAGTATCACACATATAGGGCAATGAAATTACAATCATAAGCAACTTTTTTTCATCAGCATACATGAACAAATCAGGGTAATCCTGCACTGGTCTGTTGTAATTTCTGAGAATTATGGAGTTTCATAATGACTAATATAGCCAATATTAAAGCAGCAGTGTTGCAAGATATCACACTAAACTGCTCAGCAATCTGGCTGAATAATTAAACCCCAGATATTCTGCATGTACTTAAGCTCAAAATTAGACTCTTTTCTACTATCAAAGAGTATTTAAAGAAAAGGCAGAAATGTACA